CCCTAATCACTGGGATAATGACATGATTACCTAATTGCCAATCTGCTGAGATTCATGGCTCAGCTGAGCTGACCATGTATTAGTGTGTGTGTGTGTGTGTGTGTGTGTGTGTGTGTGTATGGGGGTGGGGAGCACGCATATAATTCAATCCATGACCATAGCCAGTAGAATTTGGAATGGCAACAGGTTTATAGGGCCCTTGCCTCGGCCCTCTCCCAACTAAATCAGAAGTGTATCCAAGCCTGACCCGGGGCTGGGGACAGGGAGGGGACAAGGGTCCGAACCTGCTGCCTTCCAGTCGAGACTCACAGTGACCCCTCCTGGGTTATGGAGCAGAACTGTTTCACCGGGTTTTCTTAGCTCTCATCTTTGCTTAGCCCCAGGCAGGGACAGAGGGTTAAGGGATCAACCAGGAACCCAAAGGTTGGCTGTTTGAATCCCAGAGGCTCTTTGGAAGAAAGACCTGGTTGAGCTATTTCAGAAGCTGTGCTTGAGCGAGGGGGCTCCGTTCCGCCCTGGCACACAGGGCTTCACCGGGACTCAGACCTGACTTGGTGGCGACTGGCTTGGTTGTTATATCAAAAAAAAAATTATGGAAGCAAGTTTCCAGGCCTTTCTCCCGCAGCCGCACCGGGTACTCTCACCGGGTGGAGTAGCCGGTGAGCGTCTGTCACCTAGGGGCCTCTCTCTCCCCCTGCCCTCACTCAGTACCCTCACTGCCACCCAGCCATCCGACTCATGATGGCCCTACAGGACAAGGGCAAACTGCCCCTGTGGGTTTCCGAGACGGTAACTGTTTATGGGAGTAGAAAGCCCGGTCTTTCTCCCTCAGAGTAGCTGGTGGTTTCGAACTGCTGGCCTTGTGGGGAGCAGCCCGATGTGTAACTCATTCCTCCACCTGCCCTCCAACCCCAAACCAAACTCCCCGCCATTGAGTCGATGCCGACTCTCGGGGACCCTGTAGGACGAGGTAGAACGGCCCCTGTGAGTTTCTGAGACTGTCACTCTACGGGAGTAGAGAACTCCATCTTTCTCCTGAGGAGCGGCTGGTGGTTTTGAACAGCTGACCTTGAGGCTCCTCCTTCAGCTCTCGATGCATCATAGAACCATGCTGAGCATGACAACAGCCCAAACCACCGCATGAGGGTAGGTGGGTGTCTTAGTGTCCTCCCAGAGGAAGGATGGGGCTCACAGAGGTGAGTTAGGTTGCCCAAGGTCATGCCTGGGCTCCTGAGTCCAGGCCTAGCCTGGGTGCATCCCAGCCCCGAGTCTGAGCTCCCATGGAATCTGTCAGAGGCTTCTCCTCTCCTGGGGCAAGTCACCTCTCCCAAGTCTAAGCCTCCACCCACGAGACCGCTGGGGCTCCTGGGCGGCTATGGAAGGAAACCGTGAACTTCTCAGGGCTCGGTCAACATACTTCCTGAACAGACAGCGTGCAGTGGGTGGCTTGCACTCCAGGGTGTGGGGGAGGGGACCTGACACCAGGTTTCCAACGGACAGATTGGGTGGCACAGAAGCAGGCTGGTCTAGGGTGCAGGGCAGGAAGCGAGGCAGGCGGTCTTGGAGCCTCCGTTAGCGGCGACAGGACACATCGGATGTGGTAGCTCTCG